TTTTGAAGTTGAAAGAAAAAAAATAGTTTTAATGCAAATGCAAAAGAGAAAGAAAAAAGTCTAAGGGAGACTAGCAAAGTAAGCCTAAAGTTGTCTTACAAAGTTGATCATGTAGTCGAGGATAAAGGGGAAATCTATCTATGTTAGCATGCATGGTTTACAACCTAAGGTCTATCTCAATTCGCTTCCTATGATTGAATCGATAAATCCTACGGGAGCATGTAAACGTGCAATGAAAAGTAAACACACAAAGCTTGAGGAGTATCCACTCACTCGAGTAGCACACAACTAACTGAGATATCATGTCACCAAGGAAGTATAGGGAGAGGGATAACGCCTAACCACGATATTGTATCATCGAGGTAGGACAAGGGAGAAGGGGCACGTAACCATGATATTGGATAATCAAGGTAGGATAAAGGGAGGCTTAACCAATATATCAAATCATCGAGGCAAGCAAGAATGGAGAATAAGTGGTTCTTAACCATGATATTGTGTCATCAAGGCAAGAAAAATAAGAGGTGTCGACTCTTAACCAAGATATCATGTTATCTAGGCAAGAGAAGAACGATAGTGAATCATCATAGGCAACTAAACACCTAACCAAGATATAACATCATTGAGGTAAGAGATAGAAGGCAGTAATGAGATCACATTGGAGCATCAACGTGCATGACACGTGAGCTAATGATAAAGTGTGGGGGTTGATTGAGAACCCTTCTCCACTTGACCGACTCGATACAAGAATAACATGATTCATAGCATTGACATATGATGTGAGCTACGAATAACCTGTGGACTAGAAATTATGGGGGTCAATTACGGACCTTTTTCCACTTGCCTTCTCTAAGGACTTATCAACAGGAAATGGGAATGAAACGCCTTCATCGAGGTCTTTGGCATAAATGTAAACACACAGAATGGTAAGAAAACAAGCACAAGTAGGAATTGCCTTCTAAAGGTCTTTTAAATAAACCAGACTTGCCTCAAAGGGACTCCCAGAACATGCATCTCTAGTCCTACTTTTCATGGCATCAAAAAGCGGTAAAGAATGTGAGAGTTAAAAGGAAATAGATGGGAATACCAATCAAACACAAGTTCGTCAATTAGTAGACGAAAGTAGAGAAACCCAAAAACTTCATGCAAGCTTCACCAAGCAACAAAGAAACAGTCAGAATCAGATGCAATAATAATAAGCAATATCACAAGTGCGAAAATAAATTGCATGTGAAAAGTCCGTTGCATCGAATTAAAGTCCCTACACAAGATAACGCTAGACAAGCAAAGCAATAATCCAAGTGCCGCATATCAGAAAACCAAAGCTTTCAAAAACTTACACAAGTCACAAAATCGATTAACAAATAATAATGCAACATCAAGTATCAAATTGCAACTCAAAAATAACAATGAAATACAAAGGAACACAATACAAATGAGCGATAGAAGGTGGAAATTAAAACCCAGGAAGCACTACGCACAATGTAACACCCGATAATTTAATTAATTATTTAATTAAATTATTTTCGAATTATTTATTGAAATGGGTGAAACGTTGTTATATGTTGTCAAGTGGTTATTTGATTGATTATTTTAGTTGATTAACATTAGCAATAATATTAGAATAAAATAAGATTAAGTTGTTGGCCTTATTTATATGGTGGTATGTAGTAAGGTGAGGGTATGTAAGTTGAGTCCATTAGGAATAATGATATTATTATTAGGTTTAGTTATAATAATGAGAAATTAGGTTAATTAGAAAGATTAAGAAAGTCTTGGAGTAGTAATGTAGAAAGTGGCATAGAAGAGGAATAAGGAAAAGAGACAAAGCTAGGTTCAATCAGATAATTGTAGAGCGACCTTCAATCCGAGGTAAGGGTGGGGTTATGACTCTATGATGGGAATTATGATGCATATTATGTAGGAATTTGGTTGGTGTAATGTTGTTGTGCGTATGTTGTTGTTGTTGTTTTTGAAATTGGTTGTTATCATGTTATTATCATGTTGTGAATGTTCCTGAATTGTTCGCAGAATTAAGTATATGTTGTTGGAAATCATAATATTGATGATATAGTCGTTATGTGGCTATGTCAATGTAATATTGTGTTGTATCATGTTGTTGTAAAAATACTGTCAATCGAAGGAAGATTTGGAGAATTCCGTGTTTGAATCAGTAAGCCTGGGAAGAAACTGCGTGAGAATACTCTGTGCCGATGGGCACACGAGCTGCTGACCAACATGGTTTGTAAACCACCCAGTGAATGTTCCAAATTTTCAGCTGCATCCCAGTACTATCACTCAACTTGAGAGAAGGTCATTTTCGAGAAGGGTGAATGAAGATGCTAATAAGAATTTACAGAGATTTCTTACCATGAGAACCACTTTGAAGATAAATGGTCATACTGAGGAACAAAAGAAATTGAGAATGTTTCCTATCACGTTGGCTGAAGATACTGAAGAATGGTTCTTTTCTCTCCTGACTGATAGTATAGTAACTTGGGAGGAAATGGAGACTGCTTTTTTGAAGGAATATTTTCCAGCCACAATGTTCATAAGAAAAATGTATGATATATTGAATTTCAAGCAAAAAGAGGGAGAATAGTTGGGGGATACCTATAAAAGGTTCAAAAGACTCCTAATGGCCTGTCCGACTCAGAATCTGGACCGGACTGATCAAATGCAAACATTTGTAAATGGTCTGAGAATCAAGACACAACCGCTGATAGACACAGCCTGTGTTAGCTCAGGCACTAAAAATTCTTAAGTTTGGGAATTTTTAGTGTTTTTGAACCCTGGAGGATACTTTGTACTTTTGGCATCACCTAGGAAAAACGAGACTACTTAAACCTATTTTGTAGAGAGAAAAAAAGGGACTTTTGACGGGAGAATAATTTTACGATAGAAGATTGAAGTTTACGCAAGTTTTGGGAGAACGAAGACCTTTCATGAGCGGAAGCAATTGAAGATCAGAGTTCACCATCAATTTGTGTAATGTCTATCTTTATTTTTATTAAAATTTCCTTGAGCATTATGTGCGGCTAAACCCCCAATGCTATGGGGTGTCCCTGATTTGCAATGTTAAGAATACTGATCTCTTTGTTTTATTCAACGTAAAAGTTTTATGCATCAATTTGATTGTTTAGAAGAATTTATAGTTTTACTCTATGTGACCATATGGTTGCACTGTTATTAACACATTAGAGTCGGACAGTCGTGTTAGAGTTTTCTAAATAATGATATTATAGATGATTTCACCTAGGGCTAGGGGAATCCTCTGATAACCAAAATAGTTCTTGATAATTACATGCTTAACCTCAACACTAATTTGAATGGAAATTAAAATTAGGGTAGAAGTTAAAGGTTTTTCACTAAATACTTAGGGAAAGATAATCTTAAAAATCGGTAATTGAGATTGATGAACTTGTTGAAAAGATCAAAGAGTGAAGGTTATTTTATGGAAAATCAAACACTCAACCCTAACAACTTTTAACCAAACAGAAAAAGTCAAATTTTACTTTCAGCCCTTTAATCTTTCACAAAGATATTTTCTGAATCAAACCCTAAACTATTGTTTATGTTTGATTGAATTAATATTAAAACTTAGTATTTCCTATGCAGTCCTAGAGATCAATATTCGAGATAAATTACATCGGTGAAAATAGTACACTTGCTATGTTTCCGGTCAAGGGATATTATTTTTAACCATATTGATAAAATGTGTGTCCCATGCTTGAGTGTGGAAGAATATTTAGACCACTTGTTATTTAGTTGTATTGTATCTAAGAAGGTGTGGCAGAAAATTTTCGTTTGGCTAGACCTACAGAATATGGAGGAATTGGCAGGTGTACATCATTTTAATCAATTCATTCTTGCTCTCTCTAGAAAAATCAAGAAGAGGAAGAGTTGTTTGTTTTGATTGGTCACGATATGGATAATTTAGAATAAGAGAAACAAAATTTTATTCAATAAAGAGATATATGTCATTTCGAGCATCAAAGTGGTATCATGAATTTGGCAAACAATAGGCAATAGAGAATGGAGTAGTGTTTCTTTATATTATTGATTTCATGCTCCTATGAATTTTATCAATGATGTGTAATGTTTTATGTTTTACTAGCTTTGGTGTATTGGGGTGAGAGTACCCCTTGTACTCTTATTATTAATTAAATATCTTTGCTTATAAATTTTTTTTAGGCAAAATACTATTTTTGATCCCTTAAATTTACCTCAGGGTCCATTTTGATCCTTTATCTTTAAAAAGTTTCAAAGTGGTCTTTTAATTGTTCAAAAAGGTTCATGTTAGTCCTTTCCGTCTAATTTTCCTAAATGATGTCAACTTTTCCATGCTGGCATCAGACGTGTTACACATATTTATACACGTGAAATTTGATGTGGCATATGTTTATTAAGGTCATTAAAACTCTGAAAAAATATTCAAAAATTTTGGATTATGTTGAAATCGAACCCGATATCACTTGCTTTGCAAGCAATTGTCACTTACCACTACAATACTTCACAATTGATGTTAATTTCTCCATTCAGATTTTTTAATATTTTCTAACATAATCCAAAATTTTGGAATGTTTTTTCAGAGTTTTAATGATCATTTAAAACTTTTTAAAGATAAAACATCATAATAGACCTGTATTAAACTAAAAAAAATATTTAAAAAAGAAAAGAAAATAACCACACAACAAATAACAAAAGTTAAAGAACTAATTTAATGACTTCAACACTTAAAAATATTGTACTAGTACTACATCCTTTTACCGAATCAAATAACCATAACTTAAGACATAAATAAATAAAAATACTAAAATTTTCAAATATTCATATCCTAAACACAACAAAGTAGCTAATATAAGCTATTACAATTCAAGAACAACTATTTTTAACTCTTGTTAAACTTGGAACAGACGGTGAACCTTGATAGTGCAAGTCTTGTGCTACTACTCTCTTGTTAAGGTTGGTGCATAAGATGAACTCCCACCAAATTCAGACTTTCACACCATATCTTTACAAAAATGAACAATTCATGTTGTTTAAAATTCACGGGCAGTTAAAACTAAAGTTTAACAACACAACTAAAACTTTTTAGTTCAAAATATATAAATTATTGATAATTGTGTAGAGATCAAATCAAAAACTATTAGTAATTACATATATCTAAGAAATCTTCACATTAATAAAATTAGAAGAATACCTTTGGAAACATGTTTTTTTGGATGACCTCTTTTTCTTTTTGGAATTGTATCACCATCACCATCATCAGAAGAGACATCTTTTTTTAGAAAAGCAATTAAAAAAATATAAATGTAAGATGTTAATCAAGTATCAATTCAAAAATATATCAGTCAATAAAAACAAAGTAAGAAAGAAAAACCTTGGAACTTCTTTGGTCTTGTTTCCACTTTAGCTCGAGTAATAGCAATAGAAAATAAAAGTGGTTTGGATTGTGTTATCACAAATTTACAAATATCACCAATTTGTAAATTATATGTTTGTGAAAAATTCTTCCAACCACTTCGCAAAACCATTCCATTCGCGTTAGCATCAAACTTGATCTTCACTTCCATAGGCATATCCTCCCCAACTTTTAGGATTGCAATTTCTTCCATCTTTTTTAAATATTCTCTTGAGAACACCTTTGGTATCCTCTGTTTCAATTCATGAACCATAGTTTATTAGTGATTAAAGTATATATTTTAAAGCCAAAATTAAAAGATATTTTAGATAGTATACATACCAGCCTATAATAATTGACATAAGATGGTGTCAATGTAACTTCAAAATATGGACATTCCTTATTAACTCTCAAATCATTAATATTTGCTATGTTTGAACCTTTTTTGGCCTTCTTAATCACACCTCTGTTTCTGCCTACAAAGTAAATTAAAAAAATTCATTATTTACAAGTTACATTGTTGAGATGAACAAGAAGTTAAAATTATTAAGAAAATACATTAGATAAACTCACTTGAATTCAAGTCTGCAACTTTTGTTTTGCCATTTTTTCTCTTTTGAGTTTGTGTGCGTTCTTCACTCTCATCTAAACTCTCATCATCACTCAAATCAACAATTACTTTAGTTTCTTGTTCACTTTCAAGAACTTGATCTAAACATCTTATATTTGAATAATTTATTTCTAAAGAGCTAAGATCAAATATCTTCACCTTGAAGTATGATCCACCAGTATGTTTAAATGTTAAGAAATATCCATATTTCAAAAACTTTGCAAACTCTTTCCAATTTTTCTGAAACCAAATATCGCCGTCACGTTCTTCCCAAAATATTTTGTGTTGAACACCATTTGGAAGTCTCAGAAATATTGGATTTGAGGTTCCTTTCCAATATTTTTGCACGTATATCTTGGGAAATCGCTGCACACATGAATTTGAAAACTTAAAATACAAGAATAAAATTGCAGCATATTTCTTTGTAATATAGTACTTACCAGTTTTTTATTCTTCGGTATTATTCTATGAAAACCTGGACGATGTTGAGATGCCATGATTCACAAAATGCAGAACAATGCCAATATCACAAAATGCAGAATTTAGTTTGAATTATACTAATTCACATATTAATATATTGACGTGTTCTCAACGAAAATACCTACCAAACTAATATATTTATGATGGTAATTCAATTAATTATTATACCTATGGTGTCTAGTTGCATTTATGGCGTTACTGTCTAGCCATATTAAAAGCTATTTTAAGTCATAAGTGCAAAAAATTGCTAAATTGAAGAAAGGGGTTGTTGGGTGAGTGAGTGGGTTGTGTACACTGATTACAGATTCTCGGCACTTCGTTGCTAGCAAAGATCAGCAAAACTTCAACCATGGGATTAATCAAATATATTAAGATTAAGAATTCAATTTCTTATAATGGAAAACAATCTTTTATATCTCTAATTACTTATTATGCATTGTTTTATTATGAATTTTTTATTACTTAATTATTTATTTATAATGTAATTTTTTAATTACAAATTTATTCATAACTAAGTTTTTGCAAAAATAAAACCATTGATTAATATATTCAAATTTCAGACAATTATTAAGTAATACAACAGATTAAAAGTTATAAATTAATTTTTTATTAGAAAATCCATAGTTAAATAATAATTTTTAATAAAAAAATAGTTAATAAATTTTAATTCTATTGTCTAGCTATATTAAAAGTTAGTACTTTAAATCATAAATGCAAAAGTGGTGTTAAATTGAAGAGATGGATTGTTGAGTGAGTGAGTTGGTGGCGTTTGCACTCTATGGTTGAAACAAATAACTTTATCTCTATTTATTCCTTTTCGTTTTTAGTACTTCATTTATTTCTATACTAGCTAGTATTATAAATGACTCAAACAAAGTTTGAAATCTAAATGTCATAAATTTGTATCTTATTACTAAATGCAGGTTTTACTTAAAAAAAATTATATATTTGTTAGAATAATATATCAAGTGTGAGTAAGTGGAGAAATATTCATATATTGGATATGAATGTGGAGACTTAAGTATATATATAAGTAGGAAAACTTACTCACCTATCACCTTAAAGTTTTAGGATGACAAGTGACGTGCCTCTCACAAAAGTGTTTATTACAATATGTATCACACTATAAAAAAGAAGCTTATTTGCCACGTGAAAATCACGTGGCAAACATCAAAATTATGTGGCAAAACAAAAATAGCGACGTGGAGACATATGTCGCTGGGGAGTCAGTGGCAAGCCAGTAGCGACGTGATTCCCATGTCACAAAGTTGTGACGTGGTATTCACGTCGCAAAAGCTTTGTTTTAGGGAATATACAATCTGACATACAGCAGCTTTAGTTGCGACGTGAGAATCATTTCACTAATTTGTGACATGATTCCCACGTCGCTACAGGTGACGTTTTTATTTTTTTTAAAATTGTTTAGTAATTATTTTTTATATTAATTAATTTATGTAATAAAATTTAAATAATAAAATTTATATAATAAAATTTATATAATAAAATTTAAATAATAAAATTTATATAATAAAATTTAAATAATAAAATTTATATAATAAAATTTATATATTAAAATTATTAGAATAATAGTATTTTATTATATATTCGAATAATAGAATTTTATAAAATAAAGTCATATAATAAAATGTTATGTAATTTAATAATTTAAAATGATAAAAATAAATATCTTACATAAATGCAAATTTAAAAACGAAATAATGACCTGGAAGCGCAAAGACTGATAAAGTGAATTGACTCCTCTGATTGACATTTACAGGATTCCGTATGATTCTAGAAGTTAACATCAAGTGATTGAAATAGTGACTGCAAAAATGTGATGTTTCCCGATGCAAGTAATGTGCACATATAGATCCTTCTACTCTAGCTTTATTTTTCACCGATCTCTTTGAATCACCCATGAACCTTTTAAACGGATACATCCACCTATATTGAACAGGTCCACCAAGATAAGCTTCATATGCAAGATGCACAGGTAAATGTTCCATGGAGTCAAAGAAACCAGGCGGAAATACTTGTTCCAACTTACAAAGAATGAGTGCAATGTTTTGGTCCAACTTAATGATGTCTTCCACTTTTAAAGCTGACGCACAAATATCTCTAAAAAATTGACTAATTTCAGTTAGTGGGTCAAGAACATGTTTGGGTAGCGATCCAAATGCAATTGGTAGCAACTGTTCCATAAAAATGTGACAATCATGACTTTTCATACCATGTCATTTGACTTGCACTGTGCATTGAAGCAAACATTCTTTTTAACCTTGGTATTATAGGAAAATAAAACATGGATTTTACTGCTACACGCTTTTGCTTGCTGTTAACGGCTCTACTGCGAACTTGATATCTTGGACTATTACAAAACTTACACTCCTCTAACGATCCATCTTGAGTACCAAACTCATTGTCATAAAACAATATGCAACCGTTAATGCAACAGTCAATCTTTCTTACTTTTAAACCCAACTTCGACACCCACTTCTTTGCATCATAATAACTTGTAGGCAAGTTGTCTTTCGTAGCGGTGGAGTCCAACATCATTTTTGCAAAATGTTCCAGACATTGATCAGAAACATTCCAATTTGACTTGGCGGCCAATAATCTCACACACATTGATAGCTTTGAGTCTGACGACCCCTCAAACAACGGCGTATTCATCTCGTTCAATAATTGATAAAATCTTTGCGCTTCCTCATTCGGCAACTCTTCCCCGTCAAAATCTCCAGGTTCATCATATGTCACGTTCACACCAAAAGCATCCTCAACCATGTCACCGATCAAATTAAAGTTCTCCTCATACTCCATAACCGGTCGACTACTTGAAGCATGCGTGTTGCTAGTCTCTGGTACATTAACCGGTAGTTCTTCACCATTATACGTTCAAACCCAATAATTTTCAATGAATCCCCTTCTATGCAGATGACGTGTTACTTCCTCTGGGTCACTAATTATTGGTCTACATTCACATTTAAGACAGGGACACCTAACCCCTCCTTCGCTTCGACAACAATCCTGAGCAAACGCCCACTTAATAAACCCATCAACTCCTACTATAAAATTGGGTTTAAGTTCACTTCTTCCTGGATATGTTCTATCGTACATCCAACTACGATAATACTGATAATATTTCATACTGCACATTTATACAATCATTGTCTTTTTCATTAGAAATATTAATCAACTTAATAATATTATTCTTAAACTATTTAATACTATTCTTAAAAATATAAATTTTGCTTTTTTATATATATATACTAACATATAAATAAATATTCAAATGTAAAATATATAATTTTTGATTATATAACAATAATATCAAAAAACAATAATATAACATATTTACTTTTTATTATATATACAATAATAATATTAGAAAACAAATAATGTAACATATATACTTTTTATTATATATATAACAATAATATTAAAATAATAATATAATATATATACTCTTTTTTTAATTATGTTTTTTATAAATTCTTATTTTAATATATAATTTTTTTTTTCATATCTTTAACATATAAATAAAAAAATAAAACTATTATAATAAATATAATATACATTTTTATTTTTAAATATGTTATTAAATTTATGTGTTAACATATATATATACATCTATAAAAAATAAGACTTTTAATTTTATGTTTTCTAAAAAAATTTATTTTAATATATATTCAATTTTTTTTATTTTATACGTATATACTAACAAATTTTTTTTTATATGTCTATATAACATGCAATAATATTAATAAATATTAACCTATATATATATTAACAATAATATTTCTGTTTAATAATATATTAATATATAAAACATTCTAATTTTCATTTTATTTTAAACATTAACCTATAATACTAATTAACCTAAAACTAAAATTAAGTAAAATATTTTTTTAATTCACATAAACAAAATACATATACTACTAATCTACATAATACATATAAAATATAAAAAAAATGCATAAATACCTCTATATAATTTGCTTCTTCTTGTGTAGCTCTTGGTGTTCTTCTTCAAATTTCTCTACAGGTTAAACAAAATACCCTTTTTAATATTTATTACCAGTAAAATAAATAATGAACAAATGAAATAAAAATTTATCAAAATATGAATACCTTATTCTTCTTCAACAATTTGGGATGGAGGAAATTTGATTTGGGAATTTGGGTTTGAGAGGTAGAGGCAAGGCAAACCAGTAAACAAAGGAAGAAGAAAGGAAGAGGAAACAAACCAGATGCTGTAACGGATGAGAATTTTGTGGAGATGTAAACATCAAGTAGCGACGTGACTGTCACGTTGCAACATTACCACGTGAGACTCACGTCGCTACACACTCAACAGAAATATAATTCACTTTCCCACTCTGCCACCCTGTCATCAATCAACTTTAATTCCCTCCTTAAATGTAGCGACGTGGCTATCACGTCACTACCAAATTTCAAAATAATTTTAAACTCCCTCCAACTAAATGTCTCAGAGTTTATACATATTAAATTTTCATTTTCTGTAGCGACGTGTAAGACACGTCGCTGATTTTTTTACTAAACAACCTTCTCTGACTTGCTTTATTTATCATTAAAATATGTTTGTGACGTGGTTATCACGTCGCAACTGCATTTATTACTCACGTGATAACCACGTCGCTAATATATGTCGCTGGGGACCATCTTTCTTGTAGTGTCAATGCTCCTAGTAACTTCCACCAATAACTGGTATCAGAGCTCCGGTTCGAAATCCACGGGGAAACACGGGAAACACGAGTGAACAGTGAGGTGTTGTAAATTACAATATTCTGATTCTGTGGGACTTGTGAAACACTATTTTTATGAGTTTCTGCGTAAATTGAACGAGGTAGAAGATGAACGGAAACGACGACGATATCCATTCCAAGCTTCCAATATTTGATGGCAAAAACTAGAATCGTTGGAAAATCCATATGCGCGTGTTGTTTGGCTCTCAAGATGTGTTAGATCTTGTCACTGATGGCTATGATCTATTAGC